AAATATCTCTTTTGATTTCTAGAAAGTACTGGAAAATCTAGCGCGTGATTTTAAAATCTTATAAAGGAGGAAAACATCTCAGTTTGTAGTAGATGCTTAGTTTGTTGTTGTTTAGAAAACTGCTCTTGTTGATGTAGCGAATTCGCGGATTAGCGTTCTTTAGCTGTTTTGAATTACGTTCTATTGGACATTTGAGTAGTTAAAAGATAACTACTGTGAGATATTGTAATACTGCATGATAATTTGAGAAAATTTAAGCATTTTTGTTGTGATAATAATAAATTTTTGTTCATTTTTCATCGGACTTGTGCATTCATTTCATAACGAACCCGCACGCACGCAACAATATAATAAATTATACACTGAAAAACATCTAAAACATCTATAACTATTTTTTAATTCAGTTTTTGGTTACGTAATTTATTTTGTAAAGGTTCATCAGTATTATTTAACAATCCACACACATGATCTGACAATTACGTAATGAGACTGTTTTTATTAAACAGCATAAGATTGGCATTGGTGAAACAATAAATTCTATCCAAATGATTGAAATTCTTCTATAATATGGCAACAACCCAATGTCATTTACTAAAGTATGATGAGAAATACAGAGTCATTTTAGTCGGAGAGAGAGATACAATATTGGTATTTTTCCAATAGGCGATATGCCTTGTTTAACTTTGTAGTTACTTTACGGATCGTTAGGTGGCGACACTAAAATTATTGTTTTTACAAATTTTTTATCTTCAGCCGTTTTATGCAAATTTGTATGATCAGATTTATTATTATTTAATATTAATAATTTTTTACCTTTTGCAAGCTATTTATTTCTTTTGCTGTGTTTTATGCTGCGTATAAGGAAACTTTCAGTGGGCGAATAAAAGGGTGAAGTATTCTTTTTAAAATTAGATTAGCTGGTTTAAATATTTCAATGAATTACTCGATGTTAAAGTGAAGCTAAAAACTAAAAGTGAACCCCTAAATGTTATGGATATAGATTATATCAAGAATGTCGTGCAAATAGTGAATGAAACAGATAAGAGGTAGTACATCCGATTTTGTACTGCTATATTTAGATGTTTCAAAACTTATTTACAAACGATTTGTTGTAAGCAGAGTATTCAAAAAAGAGAGAGAATGATTTTAAGGGAGATAAATTAAACACTGTTTCCGCATAACAGTTGTTTCATTTTCTTCTTATTTCAACTATTTGTAATGTAAACGTGAAATTTATTTGAGAGTAAATTGATAACAAAGATTCAAAGAAAGCATTTTAAAAACTCTTCGCAAATTCAACGGTAAAACTGCATGTGAAAGAAACGATAAGCAGAAACATTGCTTTTAGAAACGAAATAGTATGAAAAAGAGGTGGCTCCATCTATTATAAAGCTGATTAACTAACTAACGAAATTCGGTAGATCGCCAGTTGGGACAATACCACCAACACTGTCAAGTAAGTAGCATAGAATGAAGAATAACTAGTAAGTTTGACTTTAAAAAAAAATGCAGGTGAAACAGCTGAAAATCTGAAAAATGTACAGAGGAAATTGTTTTAACCAATGTACATACCTTCAGGTAGTATATCGACATGTAGTATATATATAGACGATTTCAAATTATTGTAAATATAATTTTAGATGATATTAGATCTGGACTTTCGAGTTTTAATTATAATGAAGAAATTATTATGAAAATCAGCGAATGGTTACAGTAAGATTCGTTGTTTGATGGCTAAAATCATGCCATATGGATTGGTTAATCGGAAGATAATTTGTCAGATTTTAGTGGAAAAATCGCTATGCAGTTCATGCTTTATGTGGTGATCAAAAATATGCTTGTATTCAGTATACAAAAAACATTCCTTCAGATTTGTGAGACAAATAAAAATTCCTTAAAATGGATTATTGCAGAGGACGAAAGATGGTATTTTAGCTATAATTCGAAAACTAATCGCCAAATTCTGACTTCAAGTCAAAATCATCATAAAAAAAGAGGAAAGACATATCTCTGCAGAAATGAAAATAATATTTAAGTGTTACTATAATATCGAGAATTATTTATCATGACTTTATCTCCCAGGGACAAATTGTCAATGTAGTCAATTTAAGCATTTTGGGACAATTTTGTAAGAGGATTCTCCAAGATCGACTCTGATATTCATCAGTAGGCAGCTTGTGTCTCTTTTACGGTGATGCATTGGTTCATTGAGCAATAATAGTTCAAAGGTTTTTTGCCAAAACTCAAGGTGTATACTAAATAATCTTACCGACTCTCCAGATTTGTCTTTAGAAACTATGTTTTGTCCTTAAATTGAAATTACCATTTAAAGGATAATTTTGACTTCATGTGTATCTCACTAAAAGCTATAACATCGTGTCTGTATCACAAAAAGACTTGCACAGGCCGTTCAAGACTTTACAGGTTGTTGATATAGAAAAAGGATATATTTTAAGTAAAAGATAAATATTTTTTTTTCTATAAATGTAGTCTCATTATTTAATTGTAAAATTGTATGTATGTTTTAATTACTGTTTTCAATTATTAGATGAATTTAGTCTACTTTTATTGAGTTGTGGAAGCATTCTTCCGATGAAGGCTGGATTAATTTATTTCTTAAAAACTTTACCAAATGAGATACTGTATTGTCATTTGAATTAAACAATTAAAGGCGGACGTAAATGGAATAATAAATAAGGCATTAAATGAAGTAAACGACATCCGCGTTAAACTGTATTCGGGGTGGGGTGGGGGAGGAACGATAAGCCAATTTCGAAGACGTTACTAAGATTTTGTTTAATTATTTTATTTATACGAAGTTATGCAGAAGAAATTCTAATTGTTCAAATATCATTTCTCTTAATAACAAATAAAAGGATATATTATTTAATTAACAGTATTTTTTAACTTTTATTTTAACTTTTATTTAATAAACAGTTAAGTTATTAAAATAAACATTTAAGTTATAGTTTAAAATTTGTGTTTTGTTAGTTAAATTTGTTATTGTATTGTTTGTTATTGTTGTTAAGTTTGCTAAAGTTATTGCTTGCTTGTTATTTTTAAGTTTATTAAAGTTGTTGTTTTGTTTGTTATTGTTGTTAAATTTGTTATTGTTATTTGTGTTAAGTTTGTTAAAAGTTATTGTTTTGTGTGCATTAAAATAAACAGTTAAGTTATCGTTGTGCTTCTTGCCAGTGAAAAAAGTGACAATATAAAAATATAATTTTGGTCCATTAGCGGCCCAGCATTGCTGAGCACTGGTAGTTCAATCCAGGGTCTAATTTCCGATACATGATGTAGCTGCATGGCAGCTTTTACAGTTTTCCTCGTGATACCAGTTGGTGTTTCTTGAAAACCCACCACGATTGCATCCTTTCCCTTGGCCGATGCCAATGCGTGCGTTGCCATAATTCGAATAATAATAAAAAATTCAATTTTAAAGTGATTGACTAGATATAACATAGCTGCTATTATAAGTTTGTGTGCTAGAAAAATGCGATAAAATTTGAATTTCAGCTTCAAAAGTTTTGAATAACCTCAGCCGCTGTCTTTAATTTTAAACTGAAAAGGCTGAATGCATTTTTGAAAAACAAAGAGCGTTTTCACTTAAAACTTACTCCTCATAAATGGGGAATTTCGTCAGTTATTGATAAAATATTACTCTCATTTGTGATGATTATAACGGAAAAGAAGATCTTAGCATTGTAAAGAATCGTTAGTTTTAAACTAACCAGTTTTTGTCCAATTACTTATCTTTTCAGTCTTCCCTAATTTCCATTTCCTGCCAGATTGATATTTCCGTTTCGCGTATTATGGAAAGTAGTGCAGAAAGATATTACAAAGATCATGTCTGAGCTAGTTTACACAGAGCGTGTTCTGCCTTTCGGCCACGTTGTTTCGCTGATTTAAGCTTGCTGTTTTACGGCCGTGCCTATTAATTGCCGGTTTGCGTACGTCGGTGATAGGGCTAAGAGCCAACTCACATTATTTATCTCTGTGCAACTCCGGCTGATTATATAAATTAGTTTTAATTTTACATTTCTGTTTTGAGTTGCAGCCCAAAGTATTGTTAAGTTTGTAAGCAACAGAAGTGCCGTCTGTAAATTCCTTTTTGAGTTGAATAAAAGAGTCTTTTCACCTTTCTTACGTTTTGCCACTGGTACAGTTTGAACTTGGCGAATAATCGCTTTACGGTTCAAGTAAAGATCCGACAGCAAAGTAAAATTAATACCTAAACCTAAAAATCTAAAGTAAAGTTAATTTAGGTAGAACCTAAACCTAAAAACCTAATGTAAAGTTAATTTAGGTAGAACCTTAACCTAAAAACCTAAAGTAAAGTTAATTTAGGTAGAACATAAACCTAAAAACCTAATGTAAAGTTAATTTAGGTAGAACCTAAAAACCTAAAGTCAAGTTAATTTAGGTAGAACCTAAAAACCTAAAGTAAAGTTAATTTAGGTAGAACCTAAACCTAAAAACCTAAAGTAAAGTTAATTTAGGTAGAACCTAAACCTAAAGTAAAGTTAATTTAGGTTTTTAGAACACAACTGAAAATGGAAATGTAGATTGTATCAGTTTTTTTTAATGGTGTTATGTACTTCCTGTGTCACTGATAATAATTTTGCATTAATATTTGATAATATTTTTAATTCCTGCGGTGTCTCTTTTATTTAGTAATACCGTGTTAATTCAATAAATGCTGTAATCGTTCTTACTTATCAGGTTCTTAATTTTGCTTCGAAGAGAAGATTTAAGATATTTATAACTCAATAGCTTTTAATTTAAAATAGAATACTTAATAAAAAATGGGAATTTTTTTGATTAAAAAACTTGTTAATAAAAGTTTTATCTTCAGTTACATAACAAAAGAAGAATTTACTTAACTACTTTGGTTTATGTAAATTAAAAAAGGAGTACCCATAGCTACAATATCTTAACATCTCCCGTTAAGCTTGGAAAGATAAACTTTGCAAAAAGTTTAATGCCAGGTATTAAATATCTAATACTAATCTTTGTAAAATATTGCTTTTGATACCAACAGTAACGTCACTGCTGTTTTAGTTTCAGCAAATAATATTAAATTTTACCTCTCTTTTAGTGTACTTTTAATTTTTAAAATATCACGAACAGACACCCAAGCAGATTGTCAAAGTGAGGTACTGCAAAGGAGTTTTGAACTTTCCTTATAACCTTTTTTTTAAAGAAAAGTTTGTTTGGGCAAATGCTGTCGATGACACCAACTTGTTGATTGCGAACCTTTAGTATTCGTCTTTGTCCTCTCGGAGAAGGTAGGTGGTCCAGTACACGAGGTTAAAGAGGGCGAAGGCGAGTGGGAAGAATATTCTGGAAATGACGTCGATCCTCTTTGAACGAGTCGGGAATCTTTGGAACCACCAAGTACCACACAGGAAGAGACCATGTCGCTTGCCACCATTGTCTGGCATATGCACCTCACAATCACGGAATTTGGTTGTCATTGAGTTTAAGTCTCCTGGCTGCACCAATGGCTTCTGAAACAAAAGAGAATAAATCAAACTAAGGGAAAGTAATATGCATTTAGAACATTTTATCGATGGCTAATTGGAAGCTTTAATTACTGAAATTAATTAAGCAGTATAATGAGTGATCAAAATCTTTAAACTCCTGTAACACGGAAAGATAAAATTTGGGGCAACTATTACTTTGGTGCTCCCTTTTGTCGTATGGGGCGAACAATTAACCACTGCGGTTTACTGCAAGATTACCATATATAGGAAAACTAATTTTAAGTTATGCAGCGGTACCTTTGGCATCATTGTTAACACTGTTGGCATCATTTAATGTTAGTGGATGATCTGCATAAGAGTGCTTGCATCATTTATGCAGCGATTTAACGTTACTGGATGATCTATATAAGAGTACTGGCATCATTTATGCAGAGATTTAATGTTACTGGATGATCTGTATAAGACTGCTGGAGCATTTATGCAGATCAGCCAATGACATGGTAACAATAGAAACTGTTGATTATAAAAACCTATTTTTAATTTCTTAGTTAAGTTCTCATCTTATGTAATTTGGTGGAGGAATTATCTACTGGCATTTAGCGGATATATTTGGTATTAAATCATATTATTGATAATTCAATCACAATTTTTTTCTGTAAGTAACACATTTGCACGGATTCTATACACAGTTTATTTTGTTAAATTTAACAATTTATTTTTCTCCCTCTTGTATGTTTTATACTTTTGGGTTTAAAAGTATTATTACAAATACGAATTTATATCATATCTTTGAAGATATAGTTTCTTACAGGTACAACAGATGTCTCGTGGATTCTGCATAAAAACCACAAACATTTGCTCGAAATAACAAATTGCTTATCGATATTAATCTAAGACTTCAATTTTCTTTTGCTTACGTTATTCGGAAAACATATTCAGTTGATGAAATGCACTGCTTTGAAGCATCCCTTCTGAAAAACCTACGTCTGTTCATGCCAAAGGAATTAAAAGCAATTAATCAGTCTTTAGAGCCCAGGTGATTGCTTATTTAAAATTTCAGAGTAGTAACTGGGATGCAAGTTCATATAATAAAAAAATTATTAAACCTAATACAGGAAAAATATAAACACAACATTAAACAGATAAAACGAATGAAAATTTCTTTTTAGTTTGCTTATATGGCAAAGAGTTGTGAACAAAGTGTAATGTAGTAGGGACAGCAAACGAAAGAGATTATGTTGTTTGGAAAACTATCTTTCGAGCTATCGTGCTTGACAGGATGGCAACTGTACCATATCCAATATAAATCTATTCTAGGCATATATTTGCACGACTTGTATGTAGCAATATTTGTATGTAAGCACATCTCACCGATTTTGACTGATATAAGCTTCCGTTTCGTCCCCAGAAGATAGCGGTACCTGTTCTTTCTTTTCTCCTCATTTTCTGTGAATTCGACATACAGTTTTCAGGATGTTAATTTTTTTTTCATGTTTGCTATTGCTGAATATAGAAGTGTTTTCAGTTATGTCAGGCATAATTTAACTTCCACGTTTTGTTGTTTCATCCACCACACTTTCCTATATTGTATCGGCTGTGTCCTTAAGATATTTTGACTTCTGCTTCAACCTAGGCTGACCTTTTATTCTTGTCACTTATAAAGAATTATTGCCATTTATAAGATTATTCTTGTCACTTATAAAGAATTTTGGTCATTTATAAAGAATAATTGTCAATTTAAAGTGTTTCTGTTGTGATAGCATTATTTCTTTGCATTTAAATCTGACGGTGCTTTGATAATCCTTTAGTTTCATAAGATTTTAAGCTAAGGAATGCGTTTTATATTTTAAATAATCTCGTCTGAATTCTGATTCTGTTCTTGAAAGGCAACGAAATTAGTTCCTATAATTAGCAAATGTTGTTCAATAGATACCGTAGAACATTTTTTACTTGCTCTTTTGGGGTATTTGTTGAGCACACTTGTTGAAGACTAAAATGCTCGACAAAATTCAGGTCTAATTTTCTGTGCAGTAGTTATGAGTGACTTCTCTCTGTGTTTTATATATGTTTAATATTTATTTACAAAAGCTATAAAAATTTAAAAATTACGCTGCAAACGAGGAAACCTTCCCTTAACTATATGATCCATTATAAAAGAAAAAATATAAGTTGTCATAAAGACTTCAGCAAAAGTAATTCTTTTGATATATCTGATGTCAATATGTATATATATGTATATATACCAAGACGGAAAATTTATTTAACTGTACTTGTATTTCTCGTTTACAACTGTTACAATGTGTTATATGTTGTGCACATAAAAATTGCAAACACTGTTTCAAAATGTGAATATTTGATATGTGGAAATATTTCTACCTCATTGTCCATGGACTGACGATTTGAACCTGCTCTGTACTGGTACTTGGTCTTGTATACAGCCTTCACTTGAGAAGAGCTTTGACCCTTGAGAGAATTATATCCGATATAATTAAAACTTTAACAGCTGAATTTTACTTTCATGCAGTAGAATATTTTAATTAATTGCTTTTCTCTAATAGTCTATAAGTCATATATTTCAATTTTTTTCCGTTAACGTTAATCAAAAAAACTTCTTTACTTTGTAAAACATATTGACTTGAAGCATTTCTTCTTCATTTTTCTATTATTTACAAGGATCACTTTTAAAATATGAGGTTAACAGGAGTGGCATCATTTTCAAAAATTGTATGAATTTATATAGATTGTGGACTCTTTTAAATCCGGTGCTTTATGGTCTGGCAGTTCCAATGTCTGTCACATTTCGAACCTGCCGGCGTTAATCTGTGGATGTATCGCCATAACATTGCTCTTAATAACACTCAAAATTTAAAAAAAAAAAAAAAAAAAAAAAAAAAAAAAAAAAATGCTTGTACTGAAACCGATTGTCTTGGTTTTCTTTCTATTTATATTCATCTATATTATAACCAGGGGGTAGACTGGGGGCAAACCTTGGCATAGATAGACTGGGATGCTGGAGTAAATAGACTGTCTTCACAAGCCTAGAGCCGCTGTTAGTTTGTGGAGCTGCAACTAAAACACTGCTGTTAATAGCCCTCAAAATTAAAAAAAAAAAAAAAAAAAATGGTTGTAAGTTGTCTTGAGGATTATAGTGCACTACAGACTCATACTCAGTCTTCACTACTACTGCCTTATTCCTGAGTGCCTCGTTGTATGGTAGTGCTCTTGCACGTGTGCTATTTAGTGTGTGTATGATGGAGCCACGTACAATGAACACTGTAAAGTAACTAACTTATCCAAAGATATTTTATATGTAAAATGCACCAGGGTAACTTATGTGTGTTTATTTATTTATGTATATATGTATGTATCATTGTAGAACTGGCCTGTAACCAAGAGTAAAATGTTTAATTATTAGTGTGGAATGTTTATGTACGTACAATAACGTACGCATGTGCAAAGCAAATATTATTGTAACAATTTATTCCTAGTGTTTAAACCTAGGTGCACATAAAATACACCACGTTAATGTTTAATTATTAATGTATAATATTTATGCAACAGCTGCAGTGTGTGCATCATTATACAATTATTGTAAAATGTTTAAAATGCCCAAAATTCAATATACAGCACCAACAAAAGTTCTTATTAAGCTCCTAACTCCGGGCTTCTGGGGCGCCAAAGAATTATCGCGTTATACAGTTGCGGATTCCAGACGATACCCGAATAGTCCTAGTAAGCCACCCGTGTGTCCGGATCCGCTGTCACCTGTCTTAAGGAACCTTGTCTTAACCGATTGTCTTAAGTTCCTTTTACTTTCTTATAATATTCATCTGTATTATTACTATTTCTTCTTGGGGTCGACTGGGGGCAATCCTCAACGTTCTGGCTAAGATCTGTATATAGACAGACTGGGCTCTGGGAGTAAATAGATCGTCTTCACAGGACTAGAGCCACCGACTGTTGGTTCACCGGTGGTCTGTTCAGGCTCGGATGGGGATGGTACGGGTGCTGGCAAGTTTGTACCGGGCTGCGTGATCGCTACATATTTCATATTCACGTGATCTTTGAGGGTTTTGCCCCATTCATTTAAATCGAACGGAACTGGCATCGCGGTCGATGACCTGTTGACGTGCTAGACGTATAAATTTCAGGGTCGACTGCGGGGACGACGCCTGCATGGTTGCTTTAGGTTAAACGTTGAATTCACGTGAGAGCTCACTTATGGGTCATGGTGTTTCGTCTACATGTGTTCTGCATTATAATCCTTAAGTATGCCAAATGAAAGAAGGAAGAATAGCAATAGATGATATATTACTAAAATGACTCAATAATTAAATCATTAGTCTTGAGAAAGTAGATTTGCTGAAAAAAAGTTTGTAGAAACTGCTCGCGACCTTACACATGCAGTTTTTTTTCTATGGTGTTATGTTAAGTCGAATATTTATGAGGATAGTCCTCAAATAGTTCCCGAATTAAAGAGAAAAATTCAATAGGCCTTCGGTCAAATCAACAAAGACGTCTCTGAAAGAGTCGCTAGGAGCTTCGGCGACAGAATAGCTGTCTGAGGAAAACATGGAAGTGGCCATAGGCCAGATATCGTTGCTCAGTATAAAATTGTAGTGTATATAGAAAGGAATAAAAGAAATGTGTTTAATTTTTATGTAACTTACGTAAAACATTCTTAAATCCTGCGCAATTTATGAAATACTCTACCTGTATATAGATACAAGTATACCCTACCTCAGGGCTTAATTTCTAAAATTAGAAGTGCCGGAATTATTAAATTAGAGTCCTATGGAAGACCGTCAGGAAAGACGAACACGAGTAAATAAATAAATAAAATGACTATTAAATCATTAATAATTAAAAATTTAATAGTTAATGAATACCAAATTAATAATTAATTCATATTAATAATTATTTAATTTATAATTATTATTTCATTAATTCATAAATACTTATTGTTATTTATTGCAATAATTAATGATTAAAGTAATTAAATAATTGAAATTCAATAAATTGTAAAGAGATTTAAATTGAATAAAATTTAATAAGCGACTTTTTATATAATTTATTGGTAAAATAAAATTTTCTAGATCAAATTTCTGCTGAAATAATTGTTCCGTTACGTAAAAAAAGTGCTGGAGCCTTCTTATTTAGGGCTCCGGTGCGCTCCAGCTAGAACTAGAATATAAACCTAAGAAGTCTAAGAAGAAACCTAAGAAGTATCGGAGCCGGGCTCCTGTGGGCTCCGGCGCAATTTAAGCTCTGCCCTACCTGGATACAGATACAAGTACATATTGTGTTAATTTTTAAAGGTTATTTTTTAAGAGCTAAAGAAAATTAAACGTAGCATAAAATTTTAAAGATTAATATCAGTTTCATTATATAACCACAACTGTCTAAGACTGAGCACTAGGAGGTAAACTGATCCGTCAAAATTTAAAATCAATTTTGCTAAATTAGACTGCAGTTTTTGATAAGTTTTACTTGTAAACTGGAAAAAAAAAGGGGAGGGCAGTTCTATATCTCCCGTTCTACTGGGCCGATTGACAAAATTCAAATTGCTGTTTTCATGTCTCGAAAGCGCGACTAAGGATATATATTAGGATTATATATAGCATTGTTCTAACGTAGGTATTTTGACACGAAATCAGACCTGAAATAACATGCCAATTTTTTTCCATATTTCGATTCTACGACTCAAATTATGCGTAGATATTAAATTTCGTAAAATTTGGTGCGAAATTTACGTAGAAATTCAAAAATTTTTCTTGGCGAAATTTTTTTAGTTTGGCCGAGAATCATTCACATGGCGAACTTCTTAATAATATATTGCAACCAATTTTTCTTTCCCTGCCATTATGCTGAAGCGGAAAAAAAGGCACATCGTTCTTACCTTTTTACATTGCGTATGAGCGGAAAAAAAATCTATCGTTTCTACTTCCAAATAATTTTAGCAAAGTGTGTAAACCACATATGATGTTTTATGGCTTTCAACAAATATGCCAAATTTCAAAACGTGCCAATATATAAATTCACGTATATCTTCGGAAATTTTGAATAAAAAATTGTAATTTTTTGCAGGTATGCTTAGAAATACGTCTACTTTAAGATGATGGTAAAAGGTTTATAGATTATAATCCAAAAGTTTTTTGAAAAATTTATAAAAATTATTTAAAAATACAAATTAAAAAAAATAAATCGTAAAAAAATGGGTGAATTTTATTTGGAATGATTCTGAATTTCGAAATGTGAAAGGAAGAATCAAGTAAGTTTAATTAAAAAAAGAGAGATTAATAAATATATACCAAACTCTATTAACATTGAGGAGCTAAAATTTTGAGAGCTATTTTTTTAAAAACTACTCGTACGATTTTTACAATACTTCGTAGTTTGTCGTAATTTGAGTCGTAGAATTGGTATGTTTATTTCTGAAAAAGTTCAATTTTGTGTCAAAATACCTATGTTAGAACATTGCTATATATAAATCTAATACATATCCTAAGTCACGCTTTCGAGACAGGAAAAACGCAAGTTGAATTCGGTCAATCGGCCCAGTAGAATAGGAGATATTGAACTGCCCCCCTTTTTTTTTTGAACAGTGTTCAATTAAACTTAATAGAATTTGAACACTTTGAAATTAGCAAAGCTTTTCCTAAAAATGCCCATAGATTAAGAAATATATTGTATAAAGAACCATGCTTTCATAGACCATTCATGAAAACGAAAATCCAGTTGACATCATGACATTTAATTATAATTATGGTGTTAAAACGATTTATCTTGGCTAACTTCCTTCATATTCTTTCGTAATTTAATGCAATTTTTTAAAAAAATTATTGCATTCAAGGAAAAGTTATGAGTGTGTGTGGTTTCAAATTCAGACTACTCACCATTCCGAAAGGTGTGGTACCGTCGTCCAATCGTTCCGCTTCTAACGCTGCTGCCCGTTCCAAGTCCCACTTGCGTTGTTTTGCTTGCTTTTTGTGATCTTCATTCCTGGACGCGTAGTTAACCAACGCAAACTCTAGTAACGCTCCGAAAACAAATGTGAGACAAACGCCGGTCCACACGTCGATAGCCTAGATTAAAAATAAAAAATCTGATGTGTACACCACATAACTTTCTTGTATGAAATATTAAATTATGCGCATTTTCTCTTGCATTTCATTTAAAGCTATTGGATTAAATTAAATCTATTTCGCCGACAGCGCATAAACCACAATAGAATAAATGCATTCTTTAAAATTCACTCTATTTGTTTACCACACAGACACTCTGGCGCTAGGTTCACTTAACAGTATTATATTTCATTCATAACTCAGAATGCACAATATTATTTAAAGAAATATCTAATCTTTGCCACATGTTCTATTCAAATACTATAATAAAGCTACAACGATGTATAAAAGAAATTAAGCAAACAAAACAAAAAAGAAACAATTTTCACAGACGATTGAGTATTTTCTCATTCAATTAATTCAGTTCTCACTTCGTCCCGACAAGGTAAAAATACATAAAGCTCAAGATATCCGTATATTAAAAATTACGAAGTAAATCTTAAAATCGCTTATTTTCCTCGAAAAAATTTCCAGGAAGGATAAGCTGTGATTTAATTCGCAAATAATAAATAGAAGGCGTTATCTTTGTTGTTGCGAATCTACGTTTCTCTAGATTGGCAACGAATCCACTAGTCTCATGCTGTTTCAAATGTAAACAATCAATGGCCGCCATAAAAAAGAGGCTTAGCGGCACTTACACAACTTTATAATTGTTGATAATTCTAAAAATATTGCATAGAGATTTACATAAAACCTCAACCGCAAGGCATAAAAACCTCAACCGGAAGATAAGAACAACATAATTAAATCACTTTTAAAGCAAAAAAATGTACAATTTACAAACATATAAAAGTAAAGAAACTGAGATCACTGAGCCGAGTAACAGAGTGCGTATATATATAAATATATTTATATATGTTTGGTGCGGTCGATTGCAACCAAAACACGAGGTGCACATCTACATGTTATAGCAGTCCTATATACAAAATTTGAACGTTCTGAAGCTACTCGTTTTTGAGTTATGCGAGATACGTACATACGTTCGTACAGACGCCACGAAAAATTCTCTTCAGAATTAATTTTAAAGCAGTTTTATATTTTTTTTTAAGAAAAAGAGTCTTTTATTCTATCTTTACGTACAGATGTCACGCGAAAACATCGTTAAATTGCATTTGATAGCGGTCAAAATAGATATTTTCGTTGAAATATGCTGCCTGAATCTTTTCGCGATTACAATACTTCCTTTTTATTTCGTACAAGAAAGTTAAAAAAAAAAAAAAAAAAAAAAAAAAAAAAAAAAAAAAAAAAAAAAAAAAAAATTAACATTAAAATTGGGAAATATTCCAGACCCAAGTGTCTTGATTTAGCTCAAAGGGGCAATTTGCACAGAAGGGCTATTAATTTTGTTTTGCCATTTTACGTTGGTTCACTTTTCAAATTGTTGCCGCCAATTATTAGAGCCCTGCATTATATTTAAAGAAATTAAATAATGAAGTATCTGCACGAATATATGTATGTTCCTCGCATTGTGAAAAAACAACGGTAGCTAGAGAGATCAAATTTTGAATAACGTAGTCCTCCATTCGAATATGGCCATCTGGAAGCCCAAATTTGGAATTTGGAAATTTTTTTATTATCTATTTCGTATTTTGTCAAACATTAAAGAATTTTTGATTAACAAACTCAAATATTTCAAAGGGAGCAATGACAGTACTGTACCCTCTCGGGGGGGGGGGAGGAATGCATTACACGAGACTGTGTATCGGAAATTCTAAAGATATGCTCTTTTTAAAAATTTTTTTGATATTGCTGTTGAATTGAATTTTATGCTTTAGGTGCGAATAACACGATATTTAATTATTACAAAACGTTAAAAAACCCTTAATATTGTTGCGTGCGTACGGGTTCGTTTGGAATTGAATGCACAAGTCCGATGAAAAATGAATAAGATTTATTATTATCACAAATAAATGAAACACAATACTTCAATTTTTTCAGATATTCGTACAGTATTACAATATATCAGAGTAGTTATCTTTTAACTTCACAAACGTTCAACAGAACTTAATACAAAACAGCTATCGAAAGCTAATCCGCGAATTCGCTACAGTCAACAAGAGCAGTTTTCTAAACAAACTCTTAAAACAACAACAAACTAACTAAAAATAACAACTACTAGAATTGAGAGGTTTTCCTCCTTTTATAAGATTTTAAATCGCGCTCGAATTTTCTGGAACTTTCTCGAAATCAAAAAGAGATATTTATTTATTAAATGTTAAATGCACTTGCTCTTGCATTTTTAATTTTCCGGCTTAGCTTTCCTTTAATATTCATCGCTCGCTACACTGCACGGGAAATAAAACATTTTAATTTATGATTCAAATAACATTAGCTATTTAAATAACAAATCCGTAACAATATAAAATTTAAAATACATATCTGAAATTAATATATATCTGAAATCTTCCTTTAATATAAAATATGAAAGCTTTCAGATTTTTTTTTTAACATCTGGACTGATCTGTACATCATCGAGGATTTACTGGAATCATGTGCATCGAATGTGATTCACAGGTTTTGTGTTGTTTGAATCCGTTTCAGTCATCGGGGCTTCACAAAATGCACAGATTTTACACGATTAAAATTATTTCTATGGCCTCAGAAAGTTGTTTCGTATTTTTGGTGTCCGTTTTCTGGAAGCTTTATTCCATAAATTATTGCGCCCACCAGCGGCCGAGCGGTAAAGTCGCTGAACACTGGTAGTTCGGTCCGAGGTTCGAATCCCACGAGCGGGCTGGCTGCATGGGTGTTTTCGTGGTGTACCCCATGTGTAACGTGTATACGAGCCAGTTTCCCTTAGAAAGTCCTCCACGAAGGCATCCCTCCCCCCTTAGGCAGATAGCCCTAGTGTGCTTTGCCATAATTAAATACACCACACCACACCATAAATTATTATGTAATTTTAAAAAACATAAAACACATGACATAAATGCTGAAGATCATATGAATTATATGATGAATAATAATCGGAATCAATATGAAAGTGGAAACAAAATTAACGACTGTAGCAAGAGAAGAGGGAAAATAATTTAAGAATTAGTTCAGATATGACATAAACAAAAGCGCGACATATTGCCAGGGAATAATAGAAAATGATTTCACAAGAAGTTATGAGAGATTGTATAATTTTATGACTGAGTAATTAAACCGCAGTTACTACCTTCGGTTATAAAGACAACGCTTGGTACTCCCATAAAAGTTTTACGAACAAATTATAGGCTATGCGATAACATCCAAAATAGAAAAGTTCCAGTGTGCAGTGTAAATTTGAGTTTTCTACGGAATATGACGTATTATATGCGTATATGACGTTGTTTTCAATTGTAATTTTCTTTCATCTCGTTGCGCCTCGGCAAATGCTACACACAAGAGTTTAAAGTAATGCAAAAAATTTATTATAATGTTTCAAATTTAGCCAAAATTTTGCGACTGAGTAGATGTACGAGATGATGTTAATAATGTTCATCAGGACCTCATTTACTTTTGTGTTTCATTGAAAGTTTTGTTATTCCTTTTGATGCTTGGATTTAAGAAGAAATAACTGGAAGTATCTTTCAATCATATCATTCGTTGATACTTAAAACTGTTATTTTAACTTATAATTTTAAGAATCCAAACTTAATTTTTGGCAACAGTCTGAAATTGAAAAATAGATTATTACTAGCCCAGAAGAAGTATTTGTCTCGAAACGGCATTTTGCGTCGAATCACTATAAACATCGAATCACTTTTCAAATTGTTGCTACCAAATATTATCGTCCTATAGTTATAGAAATTAAATAATGGAGAATCTGTATGAATGTATGTTTCTCACACTGTGAAGAAACAATAATACCTAGAGCCATCAAATTTTGAATAACGTAGTTCTCCACCCGAATATGGACACCTGGAAGCTCGAATCTTGAATTTCGAATACACTTTATTATCTGTTTCATATTTTTTAAACTTTTACTAAACCTTTATTCAGAAACTCAACGATTTCAAAGCGAGTAGTGGTAATACACTGGAGGGAGTAAAATGTTTTTATTTCCAGGGCACGAGACTGCCTACCAGAAATTCTAAAGATATGCTTTTTTTAAATATTTTTAGCCCAAAGTGATCATAGCCCAAATGCTCTTGAAACGTGTATGCATGTGTAAATGGGGAGAAAAAAAAAAAAAAAAAAAAACCTTACCGCCCCCCTCGGAGTAATATAAAATCTGAAAGCTTTCAGATTTTTTGTTCTCTGTTTTAATATAAAAGCAACTCAAATGCGTAATACAACCTAAATTTTAATATTTAAATTTGTCAATTAATTTGATCAAATACTGCATAGATTAAGGCTGCATAAATTACTTAGCTAAAAATTAACAGGAGGTATTTTTCTGTCTACGAAAGAAAGAAAATCTAATAAAGTGATAGGACCAGAAATTGATGAATTTTTGCTAGCAGTGTTGTGTTTTCAACATATCTCTCAAAACTCCATAAATAAATTATTCATCAGTTTTTTTTATAATTGGAACGCAGGGAAGCTTCTTTATTTTTTACCCTTCAGTGGTGATAAAATATCAGACAAAACCTATAGCGTTCGAAAAACATTTTATTATTATTTGAAATATCGGTTATAAGTGTTACAGTTATTCTTCCAACATATTTGCATAGTGTGTGTTTGCGAAGGAAATGAAATCTTAACTGGTGATTTGGATGATAGCAATGTTGCTGTAAGTTAGCTAATGAGCGAGCGAAGCCTTCTTAGTCTTAAAATCAGAAAGAAATATTTATTCTTACTCTCTGCAAAGAATTTAGGGATTATTGATATTAATTTAATTTTAAAAGGATAATAAATAAACGAATAATAAATCTTGTAAACTTAACTGATTCCTTTTTAAAAAATTCTCCTGTATTAATCTAAAAAAATGTTTGCTCATATACATACTGAAGGATCATCGGTAGTAAGAGTTAGGCTGGAATAGTTTTATTCTTTTTGGACCAAAAATAATACATTGCAAAATTTTCAGTTAAAGCCATACGTGGAACTGAATTTTTAATATTTGGAATACCTAATAGAAATTTAAGAAATGTAATTAATTTTTATTGTAGATATTTCGTTGACTATTAAGCCAAGGTCAGTAGACAGACAAGGCTATGCTCTTCCCATTGACTGAGTTCGTTGACGTCACTTGACTTATAGAAGTGGAAGACCCGAAATGAGTAGAGAGTAGTATCTTTGGGGACAGACAATGATGTCACACGCTCAAAGATTTCTCGTTGGGAAGAGTAAACTGTCTAGTATAACAACTTTGCGTTTTAAGCTATAAGGAATGCTTCCCATGCGTGATGTCATGATGTAACAGAGAACTCGGCGTCGCATAACTGACTTTTTACGCCCCCTACTCCGAAAAACTAATAATTATATTTCTAGTTTGTATATTTTAAGAAAAAATAAATACAGTAAATTTCCCTTAAAATATTAAAATTTTGTTAAATGTAGAATTTTGCTACGAGTAAAAATGAGTAATTAAAAGAAAATCGTAATAAATTTTCCTTCACAAATTTATTTCCCCCCCCCAAAAAAAAACGATGAGAGGAAATGAAGTGGTTCCGAAATATTGTTCAAATCTTAAGGTACCATAGTCTTTTTTTTTTTTTTTAATTAAAGAAACACAATAAATTTCCCATATAGTACCACATAGTATCATCACATGGGGCTTACAGAAGTAAGTATGAAACACAATACAAAATAAACAGAAGAAAAAACTGAAATAAAATTAAGGATGATTACAAAGTTTCACAATAAATTGACAAAAAGTGTTAAAAGCACTTCTCTCGGAAATAAATTGGTAAAATTCTCCGGTTTCAAAACATTTCTTTCGTTCTTATATTTAGGACATTGAAGAAGCACATGTTCAACATTCTCCTCTCCACCGGGACTACAATCACAGACAGACTTGGAGCTCAACTTAAATCTATTCAAATAACTTTTGAAAATTAAGACATGCGACATGCGACGGGGGACGTGGGCACCACCCCTTTACCGTCGGTTAATTGGTGTAGCGCCACGTCCACCAATATCTAGAGTTGAACCTTGAGTCTTTCAAAAGAGCAATTACATGGCCATACAAGGGCTGTTAATATTTAGTATTACATTCTTGTTCGCTGGTTAACATATTCTATGGATAACGTGATTTACAGAGTTACATACTGACTTTGTCTCTCATTTCCGGTATACAATGCATATGCATTACCTGAATTACATTAATCTTACATTGCGTTGGATTACTTTTGTGTACAGTTACAGTTTTGAAAATTAAGACACAATAACACGCCGAATAAATACTAATTCAGAAGTCAAACAACAAAAATCAGCGTTATATTTACAAAAACTTTTGAAATTTCCATGGCCAGTAAGAAATTGGGTTAATTTATAGTCTGTGAAGGAGTGATGACATGACAATCTCATCTTGATAGAAGGGAAAAATCTCTTTGTTAAGCTCCCTTTATTTGAATTAATGAATTCGTGGTTCCACGACTCCACAATACTTTCATACATGACCTTCTTATAAAAGGAATTAGGGATATTGACAAAAGTGTCAATTTCCCGCTTAGTCGCAGCCTTAGCAAGGAAATCGGCTCGTTCGTTCCCAACAACACCTGTATGACCACGAACAAATGAAAATGCAACCGAAATATTTTTATCTTTTAGGTTTTTCAGTTCTTTCTGAATCTCGATAATGATATTATTAGAAGAAGAAATAGATTTTAAGATCTCCAAGGATGAAAGGGAATCAGTACAAATGAGATAGTCTGAAACAGCACTATTTGTTCAGAGACCCATTTGATGGCGAAGTTTAAGCACAAAAGTTCAGCTATAAAAACGGTACAGTCTGAAACACAATTTTTATATCAAAAGAAACTTACTTTTGTGTACGATACTGGTGGTAAGGAAGCATTGATTCCAGATATTTGAGTTGCCATAGTGAGGAGGGTCGTGACTCCAAGGGAAACCCTGGCGGGAATTGCATTTGGGTCCAACCAGAAAGACACCCAGCTCACAATTACTAACATACAGCAGGGAATATAAATCTGGATCAGATAGTAGCTGAACTCACGCTTGAAAAGCAGATCGACCTTCAGGCAACTGTATTCACCTACAAAAAAAGAAAGAGAGATGAGCTACTGTTCACCTATAGAAGAACAGACTGAAAGAAGAAGATTTAGTATGAAGAGAAATAAAGATAAAAAGAAATAAAGGGAATAACAGTGGTTAGTTTTAAACAATAGAAGAAGCATGGTGGCCTATCCAGACTTTGTTTTATGTCATTTTAAAGGAAATGGTTTCACTTATTAATTGCAGAATTATTGAGATGTAATAAATGTGCATTCAGTTGATGCTCGTTATGTTCATTAGGAATTTTCATTTATCGCATATGAATCAGACATTTTTTTAGCATCCATAAATCAAATGGTGTTGCTTTCTTGTTAATAAGTTAGGTTTCGTGCATTATTTCTGTAAGCACCTTTTCGTAGTAACCAAAATTTACTTTCCAATTTTCAAAAAAAAAAAAAAAAAAAAAAAAAAAAAATCTTAATTTAGTTTTCTGAATATTTTTAAATTAAAGGGCTAAAATAAAATTTTCAGAAAAAAAAAAAAATTTCTATTTTAAACATGTTCGTACATTATATAGTTTTTATGTGTACTTTACTATATTATTAACGTCAAAACTAATTCGAAACATTTAGCCCTAAGTGGCATATTTCTTATAAATAAAAATTAAAAAAATATTTCTGAAATAAAAGTATTTTCTAAGCATTAAATTTAGGGGAAAATATTGTTGTAGCGACTTTTAAACAGCTTTAGATAAAAATAAACCGTGTAAAATGCGAATTGATTCCCCCCAAACCTATTCAATTAAAATCGTATTAAAATTACTTGCGAAAAAACAGAAATGGATGTATATAATTAAATTTATTTCACTTAACCCTTCACATAAGTAATTTCAGTGGATATTGTATCGTAATTAAAATTTATGCTATCACATAGTTTACGTAGTACACAGTACCTATGGACGCATCGGAATCTAGAATCTAGAAGATCCGAATCTAGAGATGTCGACATTTTCCGGTGAATGTCAACATTCACGTAGTTGTTTGGTGTTTGTCCGTATTATTTGCAAAATATCCTTATTTCTCACTTACACCTGCAAATGTCGACATTCACCATGTTCTGATGGTGAATGTTAAATTAAAACATTTTTGTTACACTTTTTAAATCATACTTTCTTCATGAAAATATATTATGATATATTTAATTGATGTTATACAATCTTATTTATTGCAACAACTTAAAATGTTATGACACTTTGAACTGCACAAAAGCTAAGAACACTTCTCAGTCTGTCTTCTCGACTTCTCATTTCTAACTCCACCAGAGCATACCTGTGCTTGTCGACATTCACCGGTGATAATCCAAATGTATAAGAATATAACCAAGTATTCGGTATTTTACGGATCTGTTTGGCATGTGTTTACATTCACCAGAGAATGCCGATTTTCTCTAATTTCGGTATTTCACAGTAACATATATATTATAAAAGTATAAATATTTTAGTTAATACTTCAAGCAATAATAATATTGATGATGTTATTATTGCTTATTTTCCCTGGTCTTCAGAAACTAAACCTGGTCCAAAAGTTCCCAAGAGTTCGAGCAATCAGTCACAAGTAAAGAGTCTCTGTAGAGGTGAAATCAGTTAAGGACCTGGTTAAGAAAAGATGATGAACCGAGGCTGGGCTGGTGGAACACATGCGGTAAACGGAACTTTTGCTGATCTGATCCTAATCTGATTCATCAACATTTTTGCGTCCATCAAGACATTTTGGCGACAAGACTGCAGCTATCAAACCAGAAACTGACAAGGAAGTTCCGCTTTACGCAGAAGTTGCAAAAAGGCTCCTCAAGACAACATTCCAAGAGACATGGTCATCACGATGGCAGGAAGAAGAGACAGGAAGATTTACTTACAACATCTTCCCAATACCTACTCTCAAGAGGCTCAAATGCAACTAACTCTTCCTCCAGGCCTGTACCAACCATGAGAAATTCCCAGCGATTCCCAAGACGGGACGTCAACTGTTCTTGTGGTTTTTGCGGGGAAGACGCGGACTCACTTCATTACCTGCGATCCTGCCCTCTGACAAAGCACCTTCGACAGCAGTTCTTTCCTTCCGACTTTATCACATATCCTGTGAACAGACTGTTCACGGACTATTACTGCAACAAGGGCATCTTAGAGATAATGAAGCAAGTGAATGAAAATAATTATATCCAAGAAACTAAAGATTAATGTAAAATGTAGAAAGGCGGCCTAGCCGTAAGATTGCTAGCAATGACTAGGATGACCTGTAGTGCCATTAATTTAGTTTGGCGGAACAGGTTAAGTAAAGTGACTATATCACGACACCTTTGCGTCCATCAAAACATTCGATTATGTTGATGCTGTTAATGCTTCTCATATCCTTCGCATGAAATTTCAAAGTAGCTCCTCTTGGTATAAGACTTTAAACACACTAGAGGATATTTCATTGTAACTAAATTAAGTGATTTACATAGTTTGTCTATATAGTTTTAGGACTAAGTTCATACAAACTTGATGGTTGAAGGAGACAATGATCTTCTTTCCCTTTCATATACAATTTTTATAAATCAATACAACACTTGTTCACACAATAGTTTGATTGCTTTGTGGAACTCCTCTTTGAGAATACTGTTTCAGTGTCTGATTACGGTTTTTCTGAACTTTTCAGTGCTATTAAAATTCACCGTGAGGAGAGACTTAACTTTAGGGAGGAGAAAATAGTCTGAATGTGTCAAGAGTAGTGAATAAGGGGGTGATTGAGTATTGTGACACTTTTCTATACTAGAACTTGCTTGACGAGAATGGAATTGTGTGACGGCATATTGCTGCATAACAGAAACCAGTTATTCAGCTAAACATTTTCAGGCTTAACGCGCTGAATTGTCTAGAGAAATCTGCTGTTTACACCTATGATGGAGATCACCATCTTTACCTCAGAAACAAATTCCTTTTCCAATCAGAGAAAATCACCAACATGATCTGTAGTAGAGATTTCTGAAACTGAAATTCCTGTGGCCATGGTGAACCTTCTACAAACTTTAGCAGATAATTGCCATTTTGTCTGAAGAGCATACGCAAAGCACCAAATTTCATCTCTAGTCACAATTTGCTTCACAAAAGATCAGAACTAATGCTTATCATTTGGATCAAATTATGCCATGCAGAAGTTAGATCTTCTTTCTGCTCTACAGCTTATGCGTAAAGGACAGCATGAGAATGAAGTTCTTTTCTAGAGATCTTCCACGACAGTTTTGCAAGCATTGGCTTACTGATGTTGAGATCATCAGCTATCCTTCAGGGACACACATGATGATTTTTCAGCCAAAAGGTGTCAAGCTATCTCGATGTTGTCATCCTTCGACACTGCGAACGATAGCCATTTCTAAGTGAATCATCAACATCTTTGCGTCCATCAAAACATTCGATTGTGTTGAGGCTGCTAATGCTTAATTCTCGACTGCTTCCCATGATATTTCAAATGTCTCCATTCCTCTTTTTATTTTCTGCTTTATAGCAAAACTTTATTGCTGTTCTTTGCTCAGCTTTCAACTCTTACAGCAGGTGTTCTGCAGATCAGAGCCAATGCATAGAAAGTATAATTGCGGAGAGAATTTTTGTCTGTAATCAGATGAGATTTTAGGATAAGAAAGTTGAGATGCCAATGCTTTGTTTATCATTTGGCAGGTTTCAGGCATTTAATAAAAAGTAAAAGGAGATCTAGGACCTGAGTATTTGTTATTACTTTTTTTCTTTCATTTTATTCTGTTTTTCCATTTTTTTGTAGATATTTTACTATATTTGTAGATATATTTTTATTTTGGGTTTCTAGCACCGAAGTTGTATGTCTGTTGAAAAAGAGTATTTATTATTTAGTAATGTTAAAATGTACTCTGATAATAATTTCTTAGTAATATTATTTTACTATTTTAAATAGTTGAACATAATATTCTTACAATATTCAAAATTTAATTTTACTTTATGTAATTATTTTTTAACTAGTAAGTAAAGAACTGAATAAATTGAGGACATGTTGACAGTTGTAATAAGAAACTTGCTAATTAATATAAACATCTTCATTTCTAGCCGTAATTAACTGAACGAGAAACAATTGGCAACTACTTAAGTTACGATGAAAATAATTAATGAGAAAGACAGCTAATTATTTAGTAAATTAATTAAAAAAATTAATGATTTAGAATGAAAACCACTAATTAAGGAAAGAAATTTTGTTTTCCTTTAAAGCTTTCTAAAAGTACAAACGCTGAGGGAAAGCGAATAGATTGAACGGGAAATAAATCTTTCTGTGTTTTATTGGACCTTATTAATGTAAGGACCGATTTCGCAATTTGTTTTTAGCAGTTAATTATATTTCTTATCTTTATTTTATATCCTTAAATGGATTTAAATTTGCGAAGAGAAAAACAATTTGCATTACTGAAAAATGACAGCCTATTTTTTTTTGTAAGAAATAAATAAAAACGAAATCCCTGCAACATAACATTTGATAAGGAATAATACATAAATAACATTTATTATTTTAAAGATTTTTAAAATAATATTGTTCATTTCTAATATGTTTTCGGTTTCTAAAATGCCACCTAGATAAATTTCAATACAAATGGTTTGTTAATCAAATTATCAGTAATAAATAATAAAAGATAATTAATAAATTATCGTTGATTATGAAAGATATATTTAACTGAAATTTATCGAAGTGTTGAAATTTATTCCACGAGAGTGATATAACGAATTTAATTGAATCTTCTTACGTCACGGAGCTTTGATTATGGTGATTCTGAATTTAACTGAAACTTTTTGGGCTGAGGAGAAATGTAAAGTACAAACAGATGAGAGAATGAATAAAATAATAAAATAATCATACAAGAATGAATTATGAACATGAATAAAACAATAAAATAATTATACAAGAATGAATCCTGAACATGAACAACATAATAAAATAGTCATACAAGAATGAATCCTGACATAAACAAAATAAAGCTTTTGGGCTAAGGAACTGTAAAGTACAAACAGAAGAGAATGAATAAAATACTAAAATAATCATACAAGAATGAATTATGAACATGAATAAAATAATAAAATAATTATACAAGAATGAATCTTGAACAACATAATAAAAAATAATACAAGAATGAATCCTGAACATGAATAAAATAATCACAAGAATGAATCTTGAAAAGGAATAAAATAGTAAAATAATCATACAAGAATGAATTATGAACATGAATGAAATAATAAAATAATCAAACAAGAATGAATTATGAACATGAATAAAATTATAAAATAATCAAACAAGAATGAATCCTGAACATGAATAAAATAATAAAATATCACAAGAATGAATCCTGAATATGAATAAAATAGTAAAATCCCAGAATCATGAATATGAATAAAACAATAAAATAATCATAGAAGGTAAACATGAATAAAATAGTTTTTACCCATTTTCAGAGAATTAGGGTTATATTTTATTCATTAAGAAGATTAAATTAATGAAAAAAGTTCTTTCTAAATTAAAAACATACTTAATTTCAGAATCATTGATTATTTCATAAGAAGATTTAGAAATGCAGAGGCAATTCGCACATTTTTAGACGATATTCATTGTATTTTTACAGAAATATTTTACCTAAAATGTTCGTGTTTTAAATGTTCAATTTGATAATCTTTTTTCTTCACTGTATTTCTACACCGCAATAGCCTTTTATAGTATGGGAAGAAGTAATTTATGCCATTCGTCTTGAACATCTTTCCAAAGTCAGATGAGAGTTGCAGGTCGACATTTGGACAATCCGCTTCTTTAATGTCCAAAAGCGCAAAAATCCACTAGGAGATATAGTAGGGATATGAATGAAGGGTATGGCTTCTATACCCGTTTCTTGTTCCATTCTTTTTTTCCTGGAAATTAACAGTGGAATTTGAGGTGTGGCTGCTTATTTTGCCTTGATTCAGTTGTACTAACTGATGGCACTGTTTGTAAAGAGAAGGTATCTCATATTTGATAACTGGTTATAAAATATATTCCCGATAATAGATGGAGTTGTTCTTAATATTTTTATCCACTCTCTTTATTTTTAATTTGCCGTTTTATGAAAAGCCAATAACAACCATAAATTCCTCTGAAAATCTTTCTTCAGATTCTTTGAACCATGTTTTAAGATTTTTATCTCCTCATTCATGATAATAAATGGATCTCTTTTTTTATTTCAGTCATTTAAATACATCGAAGTTTCATCTACTGTTAGCACATTTTTTTCCATTTTTGTCTGGATAAATGTTTCTCATAAAGAATTCTGCACAGCGTTCTGCGTTGCCCGATATGTCGTGGAGAAAGATGATGTACAATTTTTTCCGCCTTTTTAAGATTCTAATCAGCATTAATCACTTTCTTTGCAGTTGACACTGAGCATTTTAATGATTATGGCATCTGTCCTTTGAATTGGCGGATTTGCTTTTAACAAGGGGTATCAGATATCCCTATACTGACAAGGTTAAATTAACCACTTTTCATGTACCTTTTCTCAAAATCTGCTGTAGATACATGTTTGAAATTTTGTGTGTAATTAAAGTATACCTATCTGATTATACTGAAATGAGCTTTTGAAACATTTTGAATTTTAGAGTAATTTACAGAATATTTTGTAAGGCATAGTACAATTTAGCACTTTTCTCACACTTAAAAAAATTTGTTTTCTTTATTTATCACAAAAAGCTCATTTCAGTAAATATTAGGAAACCTAATAAATAAGCCATAAAAATTGTAGATACCTGTGAGCAGTAGTTCCTGAGAAAAGGAGTATAAAAAAAATCACGTTTGGAGAAAAACGCGTTTTTACGTAAAAATCCTCATTGATCAAAGCATTCGATGACAAATTAAAACTAGATTTTTTACAGTTCTAATTTTCATAGGGATTAAAGAATGGTATTTTTAGAAAGATAAAAGTGTAGAGAATTTCAAAATGCAAAAATCCGAAACCACCATTGTTTGAAGATTTTTGGGTTCCAATATCCCTTAAAGGGTACATTTTGCAACATTCGAAAGATTCCTTTTTTTTCCTTGGATGTGTATTTGGGTAATTTTTCCTTTTGAAGCTAAACTTTGACCTTTTTTACCCCCTTTATTGTTGTCAATATTATATATCGTAGCTTTAGATATTGAAAAAACCATGGCTTTCACAGCGTTTTTTAATAATTAGATATAAAATGTTTTTTTCGGAAAGACCGCAAACATAGCTTTTCATCTGTTGCTTCTTTAAAAGCGCCATTTTGTAAAACTGTCAAGTAGCAGACGATAATTTATATTTTCAAAAATATAGTTGTGGGTAAATAAATTTTACCAAGAAGAACGATTTTTTTTTAATAGCCGAGCAAAATCATTTAAAAATTTGGGAACAGCCTCTGTGTTTATAACAATCTTTATTAAATCTGAATATCTTTTTTCAACAGTTTTAATCAACTTCAATAATATTAGGAACAAAAGAGTAAAATTACCCGTGTTGGTCCGACTTGTGCAATAGTCTGTTAGAAAGGCTTCTAACGTGAATCTCGGTAAGTGCAAGGTTTTAACTAGCTGGACAGGCTCTTCTTTTTTCCAAAGGAAAACGAGATCTTCTGTCGTGTAACCATCTGAAATATTTTAATAAAGTTCAATATTTTTACATTTAAAAAGCTATAACATTTAATTCCAGCATTGCCATTCTAAAATTACTAAAATGTTTAAGACATACATACATAATGATCATACAAGAATGAATTATGAACATGAATAAAACAATAAAATAATTATGCAAGAATGAATCCTGAACATGAACAACATAATAAAATAGTCCTACAAGAATGAATCCTGAACATAAACAAAATAAAGCTTTTTGGGCTAAGGAGAAATGTAAAGTACATGATAACATGAATAAAATAATAAAATAATCATACAAGAATGAATTATGAACATGAATAAAATAAGAAAATAATTATACAAGAATGAATCTTGAACAACATAATAAAATAATAATACAAGAATGAATCCTGAACATGAATAAATAAATTCTTTGAGGATATTCACAACTAAACTTTGTTCGTAACTCGTATTACACTGCATTAAGAACAAACATAACTGAAGTGTAAGGAAAGCACAGGATTATGCATCCAAATATATTTTAGCAGAAATTTTCAGTACTTAGCATTAAATTCTTTAGTAAATCTTAAATTAATCATAAATTTTACATTTGCCTAATTTCAAAATAATTAGAAGTTGGGTTTTTAGTGCAGTTTGCCCTTTTAGAACAGTTTTAATCGGCCGATAACTGAATATGGTAACTGAATATGATAACATATTCAGATTATTATAAGATCTTATTATGAATGAAAAAACTTATTTTTAGGAACGTCCTTTCCGTAGGCATGTATGTAAGAAAATGTATTATATAGCTTTAAGATTCTGTATTGTAATACATTAGGCTTCCTCTTAACTGGCATGTGCCGAATAAGTGCCGAATTAAGAAGTAAGAAAATTAATTACCAAAAATTGAAAATTCTGTAATTATTCCGTTATAGGTCATTCAAATGTCTTAGTGAATAGCAAGATGTTGTTTCTGAAGACATGGAATGGTGGCTGACCGTTGACAAGAATTTTGAGGAAAAATCTTTATCAGATAATGACATCATCGGAGTTGTCGCTGATGTGGCTTACGATGACTCTGACATCATTGACAATGAGACCTTGTCAGATGACGACATCATCGAAGTTGTTGTCGATATGGTTTACGATGACTCTAACATCATTGATAATGCGACCTTGTAAGATGACGACATCATCGGTGTTGTCGCCGTCATGGTTTACGGTGACTCTGACATCATTGACAATGCAACCTTGTAAGATGACGACATCATCGGAGTTGTTGCCGATATGGTTTACGATGACTCTGACGTTATTGACAATGCGACTTTTGTCAGATGATAGCATCATCGCAGTTGTCGCCGATATGGTTTACGATGACTCTGACATCATTGACAATGCGACCTCCGTTATATCACATGCAGATGGAGCAAAAGCATTGGAAATGGCTTTACGCTGTGCGGAACAACATGCATCGATTTCTTCTACATGCTTTTAAAATATTCTAGATGCTTTTAAAAAAAAATGGCGAAATTATGCAGCGAGTCACCGTATATAAAGGAGCCTTTAGCAGGGGAAAAATTGACGGATTCTTTTAGACATTCATACTAATGGTATGTATGTAATAAATTGACAGATTTAATAAATGCTTACTTGAATTATAAAAAACTGCATTTCCATCAATTAAATAATTTTTTTTTTCACTGTCCGCTTTAATCAGAATTTCGTTTAACCAGCTTAACCCCTGTCGCATCTAAGTCGGTTAGCTGTACCTATCTAAGGGAAGAGAAGGGCTTTTTAATAGAAACGTGCTTGTATTAATGTTACACACTAGAAAAACCACGAAAACAGTCACGCAGCCAGCCTGCTACTCAGGATTTGAACCCAAGGGGATCTAATAATGTAGCGAAGTCTTGTCCATTTGATAACTGGTGGATCAGATTAGGGTCGAAGTCTATAAACTAGACAGAGATGGTAGTTTTAACAACGTTACTTATGCATGAAGATTTTGCCATGTTCTGTATTTGCGAAGAATTATAGGAATGAATGCTTTTCAAATATCATTCAGTAGAAAACTGTTAATCAATAAATAAACTAGTACATATTAACTTACACTGAATCTAAGCCATACTTATGTCAATGAAAATCTCTTAAAACTCTTTGCAAGAATTTATATTGCAACATAAAAATGGAAACTTACAGCTAACCATGGTAATGGAACACGTTTGCTTATCCAAGGGATAATATTTCAGATCCATGGGGCAGGAAAGTACAAGAGATATCCTGAAAAACGAAAAACAGGAAATCACATTGAAACAATATTGTTATTTGTAAAATGGGCATTTTTCAAAGTGGAAGATAAACACACTAGTATAAAATTTTAAATTAGACCAAAAGGCAACCTTATCAAGGCGTAGATTAAAGTTATCAGTTTTGAGAGCAATCAGACGCAGATCCCTCTTCTTCAGGAGATAAACATGTTTTGCAAGAATGGGGGAACTTACAGCATGATGGTGCACATGGTGTTAAACAGAAACATTTTAACCCAGGTTTTGAAAATAGCTCTCTGAGGCAATGACGTTGAATATTACGGTTTATGCACGAAGTGCAGCACCTAATAATTTTGAAAAAAATCATAAGGCATGTGAAAATTTCAAATTGTGTTGTCGATGCCATTTGTGTAATTACTCCGTATCAGCATAACTCAAAATCAGTTCTGTAGGTCTGAAACATGCTGACAGGAGATTTTTTTTTGTTTCCTTGAAAAAGGAAGTGATGCCCTTTATAAAGGAGCAGGTGAAATGATTTTGCAGGCAATATTGTATTGGAGCATTTGTTGTGGATGTTTTTCTTCACAGTTTCCCTATAGACTCGGTAGATCTAGCGAAAAGGATTATGTCATTCTTACATTTGTCAATGTTGGCAAACTCTCCTCTATTGCAGAGTAGGTTTTCTTCTTCTGGGGCTCAGGAACTTGTGTCGCAATTTTAGGACAGCCCTCTGAGCTACAGACATGAGAGCCTTAACAGAATATGTATGTGGGTTTTTCCTCGTTTTTCAGTGGGCAGACTTCGATTCTGTGGTTTCCTGCATGTATGACTTACCTAGGTATCTTGAAACATAGATGCTTGGTATGGCCACATATTTGGAATTTAAAATACTTGCTTTGCTTTTTCCCCATATTGAACTCGTTTCTACGAACATTCATATTCAGTATATTATTCGCATGATTTCTCTGCATCAAGTTTGTGAATGTCTTAGGAGGTACATATTCAAGAATGCAGGAGCAACAACCATTTATTATGAGAAGCAATGCGCAGAGCAAAGCCAAAATAAATGTAGCGCCCTCTGTGTAGGGAAATAATAATGAAACATGAAAACCTAATCTATTAGACTATGAAAGAATAAGGAAGAACTAGATATGATTTAATGTCATTAACTAAGGATAAATTTTAGCGAATATGAAAAATATTCAAATGGAATACAGTTTTTCAATTAAAGCTGTATGGATGATTTTCGCAGAACTAAAACCAGAATTGAGATTAAGTACCGAATTATGATAAGCTACAGCACAGCGGTTCTCAACCTTTTGACTAACGCGTACCATCTAAACAAAAATTGAAAAACCTTTAGGACCACCACTACAAAGTACTACTACCACCACCACCACTCGTGAACAAAGCTCATATCGCATAAATTTACGAGTGTTAGAGAAAAAATCAATCGGAATGTTGGGGTTTTAATTTTTGAATTTTAATAGTTAAAAATATTTTGATCCTTTGCGTACCACCTATTCTTCTTTTGCGTACCACAGGTTGAGAATACCTGCTATAGCAAATTCGTTTATTTCTCCTTTCCGAAGAGAAAATTCTTTTTCCTCGACGATAAAATTTAACGCTGTTTCAGTTTAGGTATCCGATATATATGAAAGTGCATTGAGCATCATTTGCTATGAATTCACGAAGAATTAAAATCGGAGGTGGTATTTTTAAGGAATTAACAATGAGTATCGTTGATAGGTAAGAAGTGTTGTTGAAACTACAAAGTTGAACGAAAATGAAAGTCGGAATAATTTTTTATCTGGTAGAAAGGAAAAAGGTTATATGAAAGAGTCTCAATTATTTGACCTCAGGAAGTCAATTATTTCACCACTTCATTAACAGAAGATTTCCTTCTAGGGCCGTTGATAAAGACTAAAAAAATTTTCTTTTGGCATAAAAAAAGACATTTAGCTATAAGAAGTAACTATTATAAATTATTATAAATTATCATCATATTATTTCATTCTTCTACCAATTACAAAATTGCTAGGATTCTCCAGTAGTTAACTTCATATACAAATCATACAGAAGTATAAATCATCAGTAGTCTGAAGTAGAACATTTCAAATAAAGCAACAAATGAATTATAAAGCAGTAATATTTCAAAAGGGATGTTTTTAAAATCGTTTATTTTATTGCTTATTTTCAGAGATAGATTTAATAATACTGACAATTATTTTAAGAAGATTTTTTTGGTCAAGATACAACCATTAGAATCGCTATTTTATTAGAACTGAAGCAAAAAAAAAAAAAAAAAAAAAAAAAAAAAAAAAGATTTTATTGTACTGGAATGGCTAAGGTAATTGTCAATTTAAATTGCTGCAGCTGACTTAAAATTATTGAAAATATTGCTTTCTCAAATTAAATACAAACTTTAAAAAATTTTTCTTATCATTGAAAAGAAAAATTTTGTATAAGGTCTGTCATTTCATATGATATTGCTTAATAAACAACGGAATAATGCTAATTTGTTTGCCAATATAAGAAAATCAAGAGTTTTTCTGTATTATTGAATCCGTCAGTAGAAATGAAAGGCCCAAATTAGGTATTATGTTCCTCGATAGATGGCGCCACAAGGCTTAGCAACTTTGAATTCGATCATGGGCTTGAAAACTGAGCACTGCGCTTTTTGTATTTACTTACAGATTTGTTAATTTTTCATTTTCGCATGCTGTACCTTAAACTCAAAGTAAGATGACTAAATAGCCGTTAAAACTTACACGTTAAAAATTGACATCAGACCTAAATTACGAATTCTGCAAAACTGCAGCTTCGAGAAAAATGTGTTTTTAAATTCTTCCCAAGCGATTCGTCCCAAGAAAAATTTGAGTTTTACTTCTGCTTGCGTATATAGTTCTTGTATATTTCTTTGAAGAGTTATATACTTTTGTTTTAACTAAAATCCTTCTGTTTTAAGTAAAGCAACAGTAAAAAAAAAAAAAAAAAAAAACTGAATGTTTCAGATTTTAATACGTCCAAGGGGCGTTTTTAACATTTGTGTGTTACCTTCCTTATTAAAGATCATGTTCCTCGCACTAACATAGATCCAGTGCACAGCATATGCAAAATAGTTTAAACGGCATATCTTTAGAATTTCCGATACAGGTGGGTGGGTGTAGTTAATTTGGCAAGACACTAGGGCTATCTGCCTAAGAGGAGGGTGCCTTTCGGGAGGACTTTCTAAGGGAAATGCTCGTATACACGTTAACATGGGGAAAACCATGAAAAACAATGCAGCCAGCCAGTCGCGGATTCGAACCCGCGACCGACTACCATCGATACAGAGACTACGCGCTGGAGATAAAAATGTTTTTCGGCACAACGTTGCCATTGCTCGCTTTGAAATCCTTGAGTTTGTTAATCAAAAATTCGTCAAAGTTTAAAAAATAGGAAATCGATCATAAAAACAAATTTCAAATTTCAATTTGGTCTTCACATGCTCATATTCGTTGGAGGATACGTTATTCAAAATTCGAGACTCTATGTACCGTTATTTATGACAATGTGAGAAATACATACATTTACGCAGATTTTCATTATTTAATTCTTCAAATATAATGCAGGACTCTAACATTCTATGGCACAGTTTGAAAGTGAACCGACATTATCCGTCGACGCAAAATGCCAAAACGAAACTAGTAGTCCCTTCGGGATTCAAATCCCTTTGGACTAAAAATGCATTATATAACTGAAACGGGGGGGGGGGGATGCAGATTTGCGTTTTTGGCTTGGTGTTCATGAAATTATATTCATGCAAAATAGTTCAAGCAGATATAATGTTTGAAGAATTTTTTGCGCAGTTTTACTTAATTTTAAAATTTCACGAAGTTTTACTGAGAAAATTGTTAAAATCCACTAAGAAAAAAATATTTTTTGAATGAATTTTTATATAAATTTTTTATACATCGTTGCTAAATATGTATTAAAAAAAATCTTTTTTGAGCGAGGGTTTTTTGCAGCGATATATTAGATTTCGGCAATAGATGATAAATTGTAGAACATGAAGAATTTGAATTTATATTAAACTAGAACCGTAAAGATTTCGACTGATCCTTATCAGCTGTTTTCTAAGCAGAAGACCTGAATAATGTAGTGTATATGAAAACTTCAGTAAATTTTTATGCATATTTTTACTTAGAGGTATATAAATAAATAAAGTAAAGTAAAAATTAAGTTCTTTATTTTTCTCTAACAGAAAAGTAAAGCATTTTCTCATTATAAAGCTGCTCCATACATCTTTAAAGGGGATTACATGAAGTAATATGATCCTAACATAATCAATTGGACGGGAAAAATGTCAAATCATGTCAAATGTTTAAATGTAATTAATGAGCGGACGTAAAAAGAATTTTCCGATAAGCCCTTGAAGAGATTGGATATTTGAAACATTGTTGTGAGATGTGAATTAATTAAAGCAATGCAACCAGTTATGATCAAATTTAAATTTTACAGAAAAATTTAATTACTAGATGACAGCCGAAAATTTAAGAAGTTTTTTTTTTAAAAAAAATTAAATAATTTAATAAAACGGGGGGGGGAAAGAAAAAAAAGCTGTAAGCCCAACAGGGCATTTTTAAAACTTTTTATGTGTTACCTTTATTTATTAAATATCATGTTCTTCGCACTTAAACCGCATAAAATTCAATTCAACAGCAATATCGCAAATCATTTAAAAAACAGCAAAACAACATATCTTTAGAATTTTTGATACACAGTTTCCCGCGCTGGAGATAAATTTTTTTTGTTTTTTGTTTTCGTAAGTGCTGCCATTGCTCGCTTTCAAATTGTTGAGTTTGTTTATAAAATATTCGTTAAAGCTTTACGATATATGAAATAGATAATAAAACAGATTGGAAATTCAAAATTCGGTCTTCCAAGTGCCCCTGTTCGGTTGGAGGAATACGTTATTCAGAATTCGATGGCTCTAGGTACCGTTGTTTTTTCACAGTGCGAGGAACATTCATACATTCATGCAGATTCTTTATTGCTTAGTTTCTTTAAATATAATACATGGCTATAAAATTTGGTGGCAACAGTTTGAAAAGTTAATCACCACAGAAAGCGAAACGACGCAAAATGCCCTTTGGAGACAAATAGCCCTTTTAGGTCTAACACCCCTTTGGGTAATTTATATATATATATATATATATAATTAGCCCAATAATCAAAGACTAAATCAAATTCGCATCATATATATATATAATAATATATATATGATGCGAATTTGATTTAGTCCTCGTACATAAAACCTATTCGTTCGTATTTGCATTCTGAGTACGGTCTATTTTACTGTGTATATCTAACACATATAGAGAATTTTTTCATATAGGATATTTACACAGAGCAAATTAGCATAGTAACACAAGAACTGATTGCATACGAGAAATGCAAGAGTTGACACAATAACACCTCTTCACCATTTTTCAAATAATGGAAACCAAGTGAGAGACTATTTGTTTAAAACATTTGTTGAAACGTGATGAGCTACCGCACAGTGTGATGGCGCTATAGTCTGCTTTGTTAAAACGCCGTTATTATTCTTCCCTATTTGCGATCGTAAAGCTTACCGTGTTCACCTCGTGCACCTTGCATGAGACTATAGTTCAAATCAAACTTGATTCATGCGCTTTTCATGAAGCGAAGCACGTTGAAAGGAAATGGAATGGAGGAGGGAAGAAATTTTGAAAGGTTTCAGATTTTTAACGGTCGCCCAAAACGGTTTGTTAAGGTGTCTGTATAACATATATTATCACTTACCTTATGCTATACAGGACATCACCGTTCGGATAAATTCTAAGTAAGACGTTGGGCATGATGATGTTATGGAAATGACCTTCTTTTTCATTGGAGAAGAACAAGTCCGGCTTCCAAATCTTATCCGGATCGGTTAGGGTGAGATACCGAACCTGACCTCCAATGTCGTCGAATTGCATTCTTTCGTCTCTCCACTGTTCTCTCAAAGTCATTTGCACGCTGTATTCCTAAAAGAAAGAAGCAGGAATTTGATTAAACTTAATGATTTAAAAAATCTTATTTTTCCAACAATTCTTAGTTCAGTCTAAGGATAAAATATTCGTTAAATTACAGTAATAATTCATCATTCATCTGTAACGAAAAAGTAACAGGAATTTCCAGTGCGTAGTTTGCTACTGGCTGTCAGGATGGTAATTCTGGATCCTTCTAGGAAATGCATACATTTATTGCAAGTAGTATTACTGATTTCATTTACATTTAATGAATGATCGTCATTGAACTGGTTAGCCATTCTGTTCATCTCAATTTATTGAATGCCATTGCCCGTCTGTGATCTAGACATCATCACACTATAAGGTAGTTCTCCCGCCTTCGTGGTGCAGTGATCTGCACACTGGGCGCGTATTCCAGAGGTCCGTGGTTCGATTCCTGGCGAGGGCGTTGCTCATTTTTCATCTTGCCTGCTTCCAAAAAATCCTAATGTCTCTACAACACTTCTAATTAAAGTCTCGCCTTAAGAACTAGGGAATCAGTCTAAATTTTACTGCATTAGTAAACACGGATCCTTTGGGCTTTGTTCCTTTCTACCAGGGACACCAGTTTCTGAGCGGTAAAGTCGCTGAACGCTGGTAGTTCGGTACGAGGTTCGAATCCTCCCCCACGAACAGGCTGGCTGCACGAGCGTTTTCGTGATTTTCCCCATGTGCAACATGTATATTAGCCAGTTTCCTTAAAAAGGCCTCCTTCTTCTTAGGCAGATAGCCCTCGAGTGCTTTGCCATTATAAGGTGTGTTCTCCCTCCTTCCAGTATGCCTTCGTGGTGCAGTTGGAGGTCCAGTGTTAGAAACCCGTCGAGTGCACTGCACATTTTTCACGTTTCCTGCTTTAATCCTAATGGTTCTACAGTGGCGACCGAACTGAAAAGGTGGTATACAATATTTCGTCACCACCAGGATCTGGCGACTGGATCCCATAATCCCCAGTTGCCTTTTAAAAAGGGGCTGTATATAAGGTCTTTCTCACTTCTTCCAGCATGCCTTCGTGGCGTAACTATAGCACACTCAGCACTTATTCGAGAGGCTCAGGTTCGACCACAAAACCAAAGCAAACCTTCCCACTAGAAGAAATTTCCTCTTGGATTTTCTTATATTTGTGGTTAAGATAGGCTTGAAGTTCATGGCAAAATAGTAGAGGAATATGTATATTTACCCAATCCCTGCATGTTATCTTTGTGATGTAAAAACCATTTTTGTATTTACACTGCGATAAAATGGGAAGGAACGGAAATTTACAAAATGTGGAAAACAATTGGAACGTTCTGGCAACACGTCAACAATTCTGAAAATCTTTGTTAGTGTAGGAATGCTTTCTGGAGACTAAAGGGAGGGATGCTTTCTTGGACGACTTGGAGAAGGGAAAATGGCTAGTATTTACGTTACATATGGGACAAAACACGAAACCTTTCATGTAGCCAGCCCGTTCGGTCAGGATTTGCATTATGGTCGAACTATCAGCGTTTAGCGATATTACCACTCGGTCGCTGATGCGCATAAAGCACTTAAAGTTTTTAAGATGCTGCACTTTTCTGCATTTAAAGTTTTTAAGGGCAAACACGTAAAAACTTTAATTCTATGACATTATACCCCAGTTTTATTATTAGAAAGCGTCGTACACCACCGCTATGTCCACTTCTATTGACTCCTCACAGTGACAACCCAAAAGTATGGACAACATTTTCTCTGTATTATAATGTATTCCTTGCAATGATTTTCCATTATGGTACAGAGATCACAGACACATTGACTTATATCGAGTAAGTATAGGTGTTCCAGTTCCACTCATTATCAGTTGTGTATGTTATAGCATGATGTATTAACTAGATGTTATAGCAGTCTCATATATAAAATTTCAGCGTTCTATGGCTAATTGTTTTTCAGTTATAAGGTATTTCTCTCGCCTTGTTAGCGTGCCTTCACGGTGTGGTGGTCTGCACGCTCGGCGCGTATTCCAGAGGTCCATGATTTGACTCTCGGCGAAGGCTTTGCTCATTTTTCATCACTCCTACTTCCAAATATCCTAATGTCTCTACACAGTTATGCGTGATACATACACGCATACGTATTTGCGTACAAAAATCACGAAAAAAATCCGTTTTGAACCCACTTTAAATCCATTTCGGGAAAAAAAAATTATATTAAAAAAAAAAAAAAAAAAAAAAAAAAAAAAAAAAAAAAAAAAAAAAAAAAAAAAAAAAAAAAAAAAAACAGTCCTTTATTCTGTCAGTACGTACAGACCTGAATGAAAGAAATCGTCCAAATGGATTCGGGAAGGGTCAAATTGGATATGTCTGTTGAAATATGGTGCCCGGAAATTTTCGCAATGTTTTCGTACGAGGAAGTAAAAATTACTGCGAAGGACCCATTACAACAGAACAAAAGAGGTTATCTTTTCCACATAGCACAAAAACGTCCTTGGAATATCATGAGGATGTTGCTCGTGGGATACATCCTCAGGACATCCCGGAATATCCCCCGAACCTCCTAAACATATCCTCCCGAGTGCTTTAATGTCACATCTTAGTATATTCTCGGGACATCCTAACTAAATCCCATGTTAGGATGTATGGGATGTTATTAGGATCTGAACTCCTACTTACCGCATCTTCGGGATATCCCACTGGCCTCCTAAACACATCCCATTATATCCTCAGAACATCCTATCTAAGTCCCATAGACAGCGTATGGGATGTATTAGGATTTAATTAGTTTAGGGTATCTGTGGGGCATCACAAGAAGTGGACACGCCTTCCCGTAATTTTACAGAATGTGGTAGATACGGCTGGAGACTGTAGTAATTAATGAATTGTAATGTTCGTATCTATGGTAATAAAATTTTTTCAGAACTATCGACTTGTTGTCATTACTTTTTACCGTACCCTTGCATCTTTGCTTTTGTGAATGATGCATTTCAGTGCGATGCGTAATACTGGACCAAATTTGAGGTGTAAAACATTTTCCGAGCCCTTGTTATACAGGGTTTGGACAAAAATATGGAAACACCTTTAAAAAAACATGTTTCTTTGCTTAATATGGTGTAGGAAACCCGTTGGCATCCAAAACAGCTTGCAGTCTTCTCGGAATGAATAAATACAGTTCCTGTATGTTTGCCAAGGGAATATTATACCATTCTTCCTGCAAAACGGTGGAAGTTCAGATAACGATGTTGGCGGTGGATAACGAGAACGCACTTTCCGTTCCAATGTAGACCACAAAGGTTCGATAATATTGAGGTCTGGTGACTGTGGTGGCCAGGGGAGATGGGACAACTCATCCTCGTGCTCAGAAAACCAGTCCTGGACAATGTGAGCTGTGTGTCCAGAAGTGGGAAACAATGTGAAAGAAGACTCGTCAGACCATATTACTCGCTTTCACTGCTCTATAGTCCAGGCTTTATGACTTAAACACCACCTTTTCCTGTTACGGGCATTAGCATCACTGATGAGTGGCTTCTCAATTGCAGCACGGCCAGCAATTCCCTGTTTATGAAGATCCTTCTAATTGTTTTGGTACTCACAGGGTTCGGTAACACAACATTCATTTCAGCAGTAACTTTTGCAGCTGTGGTCTTCTTATTTTTCGTCACAATTGCCCTTAATGATCGTCTGTCACGATCACTCAGGACACACTTTCGTCCGCGCTGTGATTTAGCAGATGATGTTTTTCCGCTTTTCAAATATGCGGAATAAATCTTCGATACAGTGTACCTCTTGAAACACTAAACACCTCGGCTACCTTGCTTACGGAAGCACCTACCATACGTGCTCCAACAATTTGCCCACGTTCGAAGTCTGTTAACTCTGACATAATGCAATGACAACCTCACATAACAGTACTCCGACAACAACTGAACTGTTTAGCACATTTACGAACTTGTATAGGTGGCGTCAGTAGTCAAAAACGCCAGCGCCACTTACATATTTTATTAAAATCAATCTTTCTTTTCAAACATGCATTTAACAAGGTGTTTCCATATTTTTGTCCATCCACTGTAGGTGTCGTTCGTTATGCGAAGCAATACATGTCCGTATGAATGACGTGATATCGGAATCACGCACCTCAACGGTACAGCAAATCAAATCATGTTATAAGGAAGGCTGATATTTGTTTTCTGAAAATATCAGAGAAACTATTTTTGGATTTTTGTGCTCGGAAGTAAATCGTGCTTTTCAGAATACTTGTCTTTCAAAGTCGTTTTCCACTCGAACAAACCAATTTTCTATACAATTATGCCATTTAGAACGAAACAAGAACATGTACAGCAGGAACATGTAATTTGAAAGCTTCAGCTGCTTCTTCTGAGCTTTTAAATCGGTGAAAACACGAAAGTTTTGTCTGATTGTTGGCAACAAGCAAAAATGTTTGCTTCTGAATTAGGCGAAAAAGAATAGTAACTTATTTTTTTTTCGGTAGTTTGAACTGAAGTGCGTGAGCTTATGTTATAATAATGTGACGTTTCTCCATGTATTTTCAGATCAAAAATAGCTTCTCGCTTACACACCAATCAGTATTAACTATTCTAAGAGCCTTCAAAGCAGCGGATTCAATACGGCAGGATTTAACACGACCATTATTCTTAGTTTTCTTGGCAGTAATTTGACTCTGTATATTTTTTTCTTTGGTATGTAATTTCAGAATCCCTTTCTTTTTTTTATACTACAGTGCATATTACGGCATATAATGCGCACTTTAATATAGAAAATACTTTTAATATAGAAAAAATCTGATGTGGACCTTCCTTGCATGGCTTATTAAATTATTCACATTTTTTCCTGCATTTCACTTACACTTATTTCTTCTAAATTCATTAGAGATACATTTCTCGTGGCCAATTGCAACCAAAAAGGGAGATGCACAACTACATGTTACAGCAGATTCGTACACAAAATTGTAACATTCTGAAGCTACTTGGTTTTGGGTTATGCGAGATACATACATGCATCACGAAATAA